AGTTTTGAGAAGTATACAAAAAAAGAGGCATTGATGAAATGTGTCAAACTCCAAGCCTCTCCTTGATCTATCAATACCTGAATAGGATACTCATGTTTCTATCCAATCAAATATTCCACAATATAACCAAAAAATCAGCTTGCCAACTGGAAAAATGTTTCAACTGCCCGAGACAGCCCATTGGTCATAGAGCATGAAAAGTAATCTTCAAATTGGAGGTTTGGTTCAGAAACAAAGTTTACATCATCTGCTTTTAGAGACGGTGCCATTCGAGAATCCTGTCTCTTTTATGTTGTAGATTTTGAGAAGTGCTGTATGTTTGGACTTATTCCCATTGATCGATCCCAAGTTCCCAACTTAAACAAACTGTAAAAGGTCTGAGCTACCGTAGACAACCCTCTGGTCATAAGATGGTTTTGGATGAATTCATGGTTTATCTCATATAATTGTAAATTTGTGAAGTTACATGTGGTAGTCTTGGTGCATATAGCTCGAGCTGATGTGAGCTTGAGACTTCCTTAAAGCACTCTGAGATAAGTGGTTGTTTTCTCTTTCCCTTGTTGCACAATTTGCATCTGGGCTTCTGCACTTTTTCCTTGCTTTATTACAAAATTTGCCATTTCTTTTTATTGAGAGACAGTATAATTATTAATTGTTGGATTATATTTTATAATTCAGATGTGAAAAATACTTGGCTTCAGCTAATTCATTTTCCTTGTTTGCAGAGTGAGGATTTTAGACCTACATCTGATATTGATGATCTCGTTACTTCATTTGAAAAGGTTAGATATATAAGAGTATCTGACCTATTTTATTCTTGTTCAGAACTTAGAAGTGGCTCCCTAATCTTATTTTCCATTTCTATGTTTGTTCTATTGAAACTTTGGATCCTTATCTTCCTTGATGATGTCTAAAAAGTGAAATTGTGATGCTTTCTTGGTATATTTGCATCTCCATAAGTAATTTCCTATTCATAAAATCATTTGACCTTCGGAAGTTAGTACTTTTTTGCATTAGTTAGCGTGATAATTAGATTCATACCGAGTAGATACAGACTAAGGAGGTTAAGGGACATGCTATTATTGTCATTATTGTGTGTGTGTGTTTTTCTATTTAAGATGGAATTACAAGTTTTGTCCTTGAACTTTTAGGTTGTGAATTTAAATAAATATGGAATAAATTAGGGAACTATTACACTTTTAAAATTCAGACATAAAATTGAAAGTTTAGGGACCTATTAAACACAACTTGAAAAGTTCAGTATTTAGCAATTAATAAGCAATGATTTCATCAACTATGACTAACTGAAAGTGCTTATAGTTGATAATTCGTTATTATTGTCTCAAATTGTCAAAAAATGAAGGATGTCCAGATTCACAATTGCTACAGAAGATGAAATATAATTTAAGACTCTAGTATGGAACTTTTCATGCCTTTCGCTAGAGATTTAACAATCGTTCTGAAAAAGTTTTGATTTTGATGTACTGAGAAATTTTTTTATGGCTTTGCATTTCAACATAAAGGACACCTTGTTGGTAAAAGCCTGCTTCAATAAATTCCTTCGGGAGGAAACTAAGAAGGGCAATTATATTTGTGACCTTGTTCATGTTCATATTGAATTTTCTTTTCCTCCTCCTATTGGAGATTTTAGATCTTCTCTTGAATGGCATTGATTTTATTTATTTATTTATTATTATTATTGTGATCTATATTTGATTATTATTTTGTGCCATTTCAGTTCAACAACGTTGGAGGTGGGCCAAGGGGAGTTATTGGAGGCAGAGTATTGAGAGAAAGTGAGTTCTTTTCCTTTCAGTTGTTTGTGATGTTAAAATAGTACTTGGTTGGTCATACTTAATTAAGTTATGTCTCTTTTAGGGAAGTTTTCTTTTGTCAATATAATGCCATAGACATGTTCTCTAGACTCTTCATGGCCTAGGCGAACTTTTTACTACATGAATTGTGTTCATAGACCTTTGTGCTTTATATTTCTTCAGGACTGTTATAGTTAGACTGATTTCTTTTCTCGTCTTATTTTTTCGTTGTCTACTCTACGCTTCTAGGTTCGTCAGTCAATGAATGGGCACGCGAGGAGGGTTTTTCTAATTGGCTTGCCCAGCAAGCCTACGATGATGAAAGTGCTCAGGAAGGCAAAAGATGGTCATCACATCCACATTCTTCTTCCCTTGCAGAATCCACGTCTCTGTATAGGACATCGTCATACCCTGATCAGCCACAGCCGCAGCAATACCACCAACAGTTCTCTAGTGATCCAATTTTAGTGCCAAAGTCTCCATATCCTCCAACTGGAATGTCTCCTCAAGCTTCACCAAACCACGTAAATATGCCTTTTGTTCCTGGTGGACACCATGTTGCATCGTTATCTCCATCAAATCTCACACCTCCAAACTTGCAGATTGGTGGCTTTAATCCCGGAGCACGCTTCGGAGGAAATATGCCACAACTCAGTGCTGGCCTCTCTATTAACAGTGGGCCACCGAGCCAATGGAACAACCAAACGGGCATGTTTCCCGGAGAACATTCAAGTCACTTGAACAATTTATTGCCTCGTCAGTTATCAAATCAGAATGGATTTCCACAGTTACTCCCACAATCACAGCAGCAGCAGCAGCATAGGTTGCAGCAGCCTCCATTTGGTGGCTCTCTACCAGGTTTTCAGTCCCATCTTTTTAATTCCCATATTTCTTCAGGCCCACCGCCCTTAATGAACAAGTTGGAAGCCATGCTTGGTGGTCTACCAGATATGAGGGATCAAAGGCCTAAGTCTGTTCAGAAAGGTAGACAGAATGCTCGTTTTATCCATCAGGGTCATGAGAACAATAGTTTTAAGAATGATTTTGGGTGGCCTTTCTATAGATCCAAGTATATGACAACTGATGAATTAGAGAATATTGTTAGAATGCAGCTTGCAGCAACTCATAGTAATGATCCGTATGTAGACGACTATTACCATCAGGCCTGTCTCGCAAGAAAATCTGCGGGTGCAAAGTTGAGACATCATTTCTGCCCCAATCAACTAAGGGATCTTCCTCCCCGTGCCCGTGCTAATAACGAGCCACATGCTTTTCTTCAGGTCGAAGCACTTGGTAGGGTTCCATTCTCATCGATTCGCAGACCTCGCCCTCTCCTTGAAGTTGATCCACCGAGTTCGTCTGATGCTGGAACCACTGAACAAAAGATTCCAGAAAAGCCTCTTGAACAGGAGCCTATGCTGGCAGCTAGAGTTACAATTGAAGATGGTCATTGTCTACTCCTTGATGTGGATGATATTGATCGTTTCCTGCAATTCAATCAGTTCCAAGATAGCGGTGCTCTGAGAAGACGTCGTCAGGTCCTACTAGAAGGACTTGCAGCATCGTTTCATATAGTTGACCCACTTGGTAAAGATGGTCGTGCAGTTGGGCTGGCTCCTAAAGATGATTTCGTTTTCTTGAGGTTAGTATCTCTTCCGAAGGGCCGGAAGCTTCTAGGGAAGTACCTTCAGCTGCTCGTACCAGGAGGTGAGCTTATGCGAATAGTTTGTATGGCTATTTTCCGCCATTTGAGATTCTTGTTTGGAAGTCTTCCTTCCGATCCTACTACAGCAGATTCTGTTAATGATCTTGCAAGGATTGTTTCACTGCGTACCCATGGTATGGATCTTGGAGCATTAAGTGCATGTCTTGCAGCCGTAGTTTGTTCCTCAGAGCAACCTCCACTTCGCCCTCTTGGGAACCCGGCTGGAGACGGGGCATCCTTGATTTTGAAATCTGTTCTTGAGAGGGCTACGGAACTCTTAACCGATCCTCATGCTGCAAGCAACTACAACATTACTCATCGAGCTCTTTGGCAGGCTTCTTTCGATGAATTCTTTGGCCTTCTTACAAAGTACTGTGTGAATAAGTATGACAGTATCATGCAATCACTCCTGAGACAATCCCCACAGAATGCAGCTGCGGCAGTCTCAGATGCAGCAGCTGCCATCAGTCAAGAAATGCCGGTCGAAGTATTACGTGCAAGTCTTCCCCACACCGACGAGCATCAGAGAAAAGTGTTGATAGATTTCGCCCAACGCTCGATGTCCGTTGGTGGTCGCAACAATTTTGAGTCCGTGTGATGGAATTTGTGGCCCCCTATCTTTAGTTCTCAACGAAGGAAAGATCCTTCAGAATAATCTCACCATCACATATGGGAGGACAAAGGAGAATCCCCTTCCTCCATTTTGAGGTCTCTACTGCTCCCTTAATTTTTCTTTTGATTTTTGGTACACTGGGCGAAAGGGGAGTGCAAAAAGTGATTCTACGCATAGAATTATTCTTCGTTTATGTTTATTTTCGGAAATTCATGTTTATGATTTTAGCTGACACTTCCAAGCAAACGGCGTCGTATTGGGTTTAGTTTTAACTTTTTGGCTTCGGTTCGGTTTGGAGAGAGCTTTAGAAATTAGATATGCTGTTAAATGGTGGGTGGTCCAGACGATACGATATGTGGGGGTTAGAAGAATGTACAGGTTCGGTCTGAGATCGATTACCCACGGTCCTTCACTATTAATACCTGAGGAGGTGGGGTGGTTTTTGGTGTTTAAAATCACTACTCATGGTGCTTGTTTTATATTTTAATTATTATGTTATAGTACAAAACGGGGTGACAAAAAGGAAATCTTGATGCAAATACAAAGTAATTTTGGGGGGTCGGTATGGATTATGGAATGGATGGATGTTTTTAGCCCAAAGTGAGGGGGTAGATCTTTTGGTGGGAAGTTTTCCAATTCTTTCTTTCTTTTTTTTGGGACATCATTTGTATTTACTAAATTGCACGTTGTGTTGTGCTCTTGTATCTTCTATGGTTCGATGAAATGCAATAACCACCTTTTTGTACTCTTTTATCTCTAATGGCAATGTTTTTTAATATTCGCCTTCTTTTAGTTTCTAATATGGTTAGTTGTATCAATATTTTCTTTTTTGTTGGAGATACGTTGAGGTTTAAATTAGATTCACTTTATTATAGTTGTCTCTAGATATTATGAGTGTATCAGTCCAGTTTGTACACCTACCTATTCATAAAATATCGATAAGTGGAATTATCATTCCTAACCTAACCTCTAACCAGCCCATTTAGTTGAAATTGAAGAAAAACAACAAACTGAGTTGGTTAGGCTGGTTTAAACCAATTTCTTTGGTTTCATTTGGATAAGTTATGTCTTGGTCAGTTCGGTAGTTTTATTGAGCGGTTGACATTGAGTGAATTCTACAACTATTCTTCACATGAACATAGTTTTTTAATGGTCGAAAGTTTGAATATCCCATCGTCTATTTCTTATTAAACCAAAAAAAAAAAAAGAAAACTGAAAACGTAAAAATAGTGATTGTTGAATATTTTGGTTCAAGTGCTTCAAATACAAAAGACATCGTAAATCTTGTATCCAAATAAGGTCTGGTGTGTTGTCATAAGCACCACCTCCATTTGTCTGTTACACTCTAGACAACTCACTCATATTGAAGGCATGGAAAAGTAGAACCCCATCGCTAAGGGATCACCTTGAGCTAACCAACGACCTATATGGTAAAGATTACTTTTAAGAACGGTGTGGTTCAAGGTTTTATTGGTGGATGCTAGATCTAGACAACGACCTGGGAACAAAACGTCTGCAAACTAAAATTGAATGTTATCAGAATTTCAATTCTGCCAGTATTTATTTTAAGGGATTAATCAGCCGATAATTTTAGTAATTTGAATTAATTGTGACTAATGAAAAATTTTAACTTATACTAAATTAATTTACCCAATTAATATTTCAATAAAATACTCAATTACATTCCTGGACACATTTTTTATTTTTTATCATGAAAATGAATTAAGTATATATCTTAACAAAGAAATAATTTATTATAATGGAATATTTATTTAATTATAATGTAATATAATTAAATATACCAGGTGTTCTGTGAGATCTTTGCCATCTTTCAAAACCTAAAAAGGCAACTGAAGGTCTGTTTTTTAAATTCGGTTGAAATATTGAGAAATATTCTTAAAAATAGAAAAGAAACAAAGAGATGTTATGACTTAAAATAGTTATTATTTGAAAAATAAAATAAAAAAAATCTATAGATAATAAGTCAAATTGAAAAATAAACCACTGACCCTAATTATCTATCATTGTTTCCAGAAGAAAGGGGAGCAAAATTCTTACAATTTTTATAGATTCTTTTAGATAAAATTTCAATCTGCCCTCTATTTATCCTCATAAAAGATTTATGGCCTCAGTCCCTAATTATCTATCACTGTTTCCAGAGGCAAATAGAATCTAAAGAAGACTCACAAGTCATTCTGGGCGGTTCGGTACGGTACAAGTCGAATTCCGCAGCTTGAAAGCCAAGGGATTCCTCCTTCACAACCTCTCTAAGTAAATTATCCTAAAAGAAATTCAAATCTCAAATGCAGAAGAAATAATTAAGTAAAAGGATTCAAGAGAGCCGGGGAGTAACCTCATTCAATGACGCAGATATGAAAAGATGGTCGATCTGAGATCGAGATCGACCATCTTTCAGTCTCATGTTCCCCATTGATTGAGAATGCTATTTGTGTATGATGTATTTGTAGAAATCGAAACGAAATTCAGTACCCAATGCTTCGATATAAAAGGGGTAGGCCCATAATTCTGACATAAATGTCAATATGACAACTGAAAAGATCAGTATTATGAATTCATATTCCTCATCCAGCTATGTTCAAAGAAGCCACAAAGAGGAACAGATAATACTTGTCTAAGTACCTTCATCTTCATTTGTCACACCACGAACACGGGCTCGTAAGCATTTGACGAATAAGAGACTGCCGAACTGATTGATCCTCATTTCTACAGACTGAAGCACCATAGTAACCCCAAAGAAATTCAAATTAAATGCTTGCATTAGGAAAATGAGGAACTATGCTACATTTCGTAGAGGTAGCGAACTAGAGCGGATAGAAACTAATATTAGATACGAGTTATTTCACCTTACCAAAATTGTTAGGCATTAGATTATGAAGCCTTTTCTTCTCAGAGATCCTTATGCAACAGATCCTTAATGGAGTCTAACTACCCAGAGGAATAATTACCCTCTTGAGAAAGTCGAACCGATGCAGCACGAACCATATTTACGAGTTTTTCATCTAGTGCTTCGAGATCACCACGATTACGAAGTTGAGAATATATTGGAGCTATAAAATCTGCAGCAATTTCAGCCAACTTACACAGCGAGAAATCTCCGGCCATACGAATTACATTGACCGACAAGTGACGGGCAACATCTAGACAAGATATAATTACATGTAAGCACAGTTCCTGAAGATCTTCCAGAAACCAGAACTCAGCCAACCAGCAAAGCTCTACATATGGTTGGAGCTCATTCAACTTCTGTTGGTCATCCATATTATGCCATAGACACCCAGTTGGAGGTTGTGGCAGCATATCTGAGTAGAACCAGTCCACTAGTTTAACCATTGCCTCCCAACCAACTGGTACCTTAATTATTTCTGAGAGGCTGTCCGAAAAGGAAGGAAAAAAAAAAACTAAACCTTTAAGGGCCATAATAATGGGAATTAAAACTAGAACTCGTTTCACATGAAAACTCGGAGAAAGTTCAACAAGTCTCTCCAATATGTTCTAGAAGCCATAAAATTCTTTGAAAACTTAGGCCCCATTTGATAATGATTTTGTTTTTAGTTTTCTGTTTTTTTGTTTTAAATTAGGCTTGTTTAACTCCACTCTTTGGTATGTTTTTCACATTTCTTCATAAAACATCTGAATTCTTGACTAAATTTTAAAATAAAAAACAAATTTTTGAAAACTACTTGGATTTTGAAAACATTTTTGAAAAGTAGATAACAAGACATAAGCTTAATTTTTAAAGTAAACCAAAAACAAGGGACCTTAACAATAATGTAATTTTTTGACACTGAAACTGAAATACGTCATAACAGAGCTTTCAAAAATCTGCAAAATGCAAATAGTACCTTATTTTCGTCTTCTTGACTAAAAAATATAACCAATAAGAAGAAAAAAGTTTCAATCGAACTCTACAATTTTTTATTTAAAGTTCACTACATTATGAATCACATAATAAAATTTCTCTATGGTTGTGTATTGATATACTTAATGTAATGTGTATGTACCTTTCTCTCATTCCCGACTGTAACAAGGCTCGTAGATAGTCACAACTTAACCATAAGATTACTTTATGAACATGCATGTGTGGCACAGATAAAGCACAAACATCGCATTTCCAACTCGTCTGCTTAGTTGCTTTTGCCTCCAAGATGATGTCTCTGAAACCCAAAGAAAATTGGTCATAGAATCTTTTAAAGTAAAGATGGTTTTAAGGAGGAAGAAAGTTAACATATACTCCCTATATGAAGTTTTCTCTGCCCAAACGACAAGACATTGAATTTCTTCAAGCTAAATCAGATAACGTGAGAAAAGATCTTCTGCTGGATGATGCAAAATATATAAAGACACAAGCTAAATAACAGAAACTCGGTGATGCTCAGCCTTTTAACATTTTTCAGTAGAGGAATTTAATTCTAAGAGAAGTGAATATAACAACAAAGGTAAAGATTCAAAATGATTTACTGGACAATTATTTTATTTGGTTTTCCATCTGAAATGGAAACTCAAAGAAACAGTATTCCTTTTTTCTTAAAAAAAAAAAATCATAATAGTATGCTTACTAAATGAAAAGTTAGTCTAGTTGAGGAAAATCAAGGAAAACCTACGAGAAACGATATCCAGCTGGACCAAGAGCCACCATGAGGTTAAAGGGGGGAAAAGGTGTCCCCCACTTTGGTCTTTTTCTACTAAGTATATGGAACAGGGGCTGTATTTTACAACGTTTAGCCAGACTTCTCATCCGTTTTGCAAGTTCCTCCCCCGCTTGCAGGTATCCCCTGTAGACGTACTCTAATAGCTTCGCCATTGCACTATCGTCAACATGTGAAGATAAACAAACCTCTTTCTGAACCTTTCCACATGAGTAAGAAATGTCTGTGAAGGATGAATCATTACACATTTTCTCATTTGCAGGTGGCCAGTTAGGAGGCAGCAGTGATGCGCACCGAGCTGCAAGAATCACACCATGAACATTTAGAGACTTTCCGTTCATGTGAATGAATCGAATGTCTGAATAGTCCTTCTCATCAAGTGCTTTTCCAATCCTGTTCCCAAATTTACTGGGAAATCCGTACAATCCAAATAAACTAAGAATATATGCAGCATACCAGTTTAGTCCAGCAGAGGAACTACGACTACCACTGCAGATGTCCTGAAGCTTACTTATTAACTCATCTTCAGTAAATCCAACTAATAAAGAAGATATGCCTCTTTCGTTCGTCAAGGGATCTGAATGAAAAATTAACTCAGCCAGGCCTAGCAAACTATATAAAAGCAGGATATCTCTTCCCTCCCATTCTTTGTTAGGGCCCCAACAGCAAGTTCTCTCATGAAAGTTAAAATGCAAATGAGAAGAATAGCTCAGCCTATCCAAATAGATTTCATTGCTCAAGCACCACCTAACAAAGGACAATATTACCTTCAGGCCTTCATCATTTTTGTCCCACATTGTATACTGTGGTAAACCTACACAACATACTAAACTTAACAAATTGATGACTATAAGAATATTTGGCATTCCAGAAATTGTCCCAGATGAAATGCCAGTCAGGGTATGCCGCAAGTCCTTCAAATATGAATTAATATTCGGCTCTAGCATCTTTGTTAACATAGACGTGGTCCTCGATGCAATATAATTGGAAGGAGAATAAATCATCATCATAATAGCTCTCAATAATGACTCATCTTTCGAGGCATTGACAACATCACCTTGATATAATTGACGCCAACCAGTAAACAGTTCTGAAAATGCCAAACTGTCCAATAAAAAAAATATAAGAAAAAAAGAAAGAGATGAGTCAATGATGAAACTATAGCAACATGAAAGAATCAGACGTAATAAAGTAAAATTCCACACACATAAAGCAATGGTATTACCAGGCACATGATATGAGTACTTCAATTGGGAGTCTATTTGAATTTTGGTTCAGGTACATATCTTCATTAAAGTTTGTGGCAAGCGAACCAAGAATTTCCCAGACATAAACCCTCAACCCAGGAAAATGATTTGTTTTAAGACCTTCCCGAGCAATGTTAATCTGGTCTTCCAATGATAAAATACATTCATTCAATTGTTTGGGACACTTTCCAAGTAAAAGATGAAGGAGAGCTCTGTCGATTCCATGTTTCCAAAAATAATTGTGATGCTGGCCAGCCCAACGAGTAATTAAGGCCAAGCGACATGCCTCATCAAGCAAGGATGCCTGATTATTGGTAGCTATTGCAGGTTGTGAACTACATTCAGCCATTGCACTTAATATGGCATTGACAATTCGTTCACAACGAGAACTCATCATTTCCAAACCTGTCTCCTCATTTATCTGAGCAAGAAATGTCACAAAATAAATTTTAAGCAGAGAACTTGCATTGGTTCGATGATGTCAAGAACAAACATGTTAACAGTTCTTAGTTCTAACCACTAAACATTGAGCAAGTCTAAATGCTTCAATCCGAACATGAGGAGGGCGTGAGCTGCTCATGCATTCCACCATTTCTTGCAGAATTGCTTCTCCACGCTCTAAAAGCTTCTTTGTGCCAATACCACATAGAGCTGCAAGTAGAAATTGCCAACTTTTTCTCAGTTACCATCTGCAAACTCAAAATAGGAAAATTCCCTCATATTCATTACCTATTGCAGAATACAACTTCAACACTTCAGCTCTAATAGAGAAGTCTGGCTTAGTATACATATCATACAAAACTTCCATCAATTTAGCATCACCCCAAACTGGAAGCCTAGAGAGAGGCCAACGAGAGAGTATTGTACTCAAGAGAGAAAGCAAAGGTTGAATATATTCAAACGGGTTCACAGCTACTGAAAAGTCTCGAGTGATGTAAATCAAATGATGAACGACTTCTGTTCTTTTCAGTATCTCCCAAAGTGCTTCCTCACTTTTACTTGTTACATTTGAAAGAATCAAATTCAAAGCTGTAGCACATGATACAGAAATTTTTATTTGACGAGCAGGTAGCAAGGATGAAAGGGCATGAGAAAGATCCAAAACAAAAGGTTTCAACAGTGCATTTGGTATAGCACTGACCAGCTTTATTGTAACATCAGCTGCAATACTTGATGCTGCCCCATTTTTATCTTGAAGAATCCACACCAAAGAATAAACAATATCAGGTATAGAATCCTGAAAGAAAGAATCCAAGAACAAGAAGATAACAAAAATGGAGCTCAGAACATGTACTAAATAAAAATTTTCCAACAGTAAAACTGGAAGCCACCTACATAAAATGACATAAAAAAGACAGATCCGAGCCAACTTAAGAACAGAATGCAAAACAAAAAAAGACACATGGACGGCTACAGAACTAAGTGTATTACTTGTATTAAGTCTTGTGTAAAGAAAGTAAGATAAACCATCGCCAGGACAAGCAAAATGATACTTGTTTCTTTTCCATTTTGTATAACTACTTATTTTAAAAAAAAAAAAAAATTGTCCACATACTTCCTAAGATGACTAAACTGATCCCTCCTCTAATTTAATCGTCAAATATCAATGAAAATAAATAATTTCATTTCTGTTCTTGTTTCAAGCATTTCTTACCACAAGATCATCATACTAGTATTCAGGTCTATAAGTTTTTTTTTTCCTTTTCCAAAGACCGATGGTGACTTTTCATAAGATGAAAATATTACGACCAAAATAGACCAAACGGCCTCTAAATCTATACAGTTTTAGACTATGATTATTAAGCAACAGGTCTTCATTTGGAATATATCCAATCAAAAACCTCCATCCTCGTCAGATACTGCAGTTACGGAGCAAAAAAATCTTTAACTCTAACTCTAAGCAACTATAAAAGTAAACACAATGAACAATTGTACTTGATTGGATTTCCAATATCTAAAAAGCAACACTAAGCGTGATACCTTCACGAGGTGATTGTAACATAATTCTCTGGGAACAGATTCAAGAAATGCTGCAATGGAACGAACAACGTGTCTCTGTACCTCGTTATCCGTGCACATCCATTTCTTCGTGCCTTGTTCATTAAACCTGACATGGGAAAAAGTACTTCTACAGTTGTGGTGAAGAATAATTAATCTCGCAAATAATTGGAGCCTGAATAGAAATATTGCTGGTGAAGTTAGTAGAAGTGGAACGCCAGAAAAATATCCTCCGGAAACTAATTAAATCGTTGATTACGCAAAAGAAAACACATAACATCAAGTTTCCAAAACTTTCCTTGAACTGTTTCTCAAAAGACCAACGAGAAGAGAGAGGCGATAGGAGAAACAGCAACCGGAGACAAAAAAAAAAGTTCAAAGCTACTTTATGTTTCGAGTTTGAATCCAAACTGAAGTAATTTTCCGGATCAAAACTTCCAAGAACGAGCGAATTCAAAAGTGAACTGATAAGTCAATTAATTCTTGTGCAGAAGGAGGCAATCGGAGTGATAAATTGTAAGAATGCATAAAAAACAAACATGTAATTACAGCGAGCGATTCCTCCAGCGCGGGAAGACTGAAAACTGACCTGGTACCGAGATTGAGAGCGTCGTGAAGACGGCGATGGAGAGTGTGGATGTGGCTGGTTGATTCGAGTCGTCCACCGCCTTTGGAGGATCTCATCGTCTGGAATGTGGAGCGAATTCGTCAGTTTCTATGGGGCGGAAGAGATTATAAGACGATAGAGTTGGAGCAGATCATCGAGGTTGGAGAGCCGCACTGAAGTGGAAGCTGAAACTGCGCAATTTGAAGTAGTTGGAACTTGGAAGAAGTTCTTCGCTCGCATTTTCAGTTCTCTGTCTGTCTTAACTATTTCTCCGTTTCTGTGATCAAAAAGACAATTCCTCCAACACACATAAATTATAAAATCCTCCCTTTGCCCATAGAAATATATACAAGAATAATAAATTAATAAATATTATTTTACTCAATATACTTTAAACTTCTGATCTTTAGGACCAAAAGAACCATTACGCTCTCAACAATAATTTTGATAGGACCAAAAGAACCATTACGCTCTCAACAATAATTTTGATCTTTATGATCAAAACGAACGTAGTTCAACGATAATTGACATATATTATATTATACTAAAATGACGAATTTCCATTACGATCGTGGATAAGTAAATGATCAAAACGAATATAATTCAACAATATATATCATGTTATACTAAAATTACGAATTTTCATTATAATTTTCATTACGATTGCGGATAAGTAGAGGTATTTCTGTTACGATTGCGGATAAGTAGAGGTATTTTTGTTGACCAAATTTATAGGCCGAAAAAGATTAAAATAGTAAATTTTGTGAGTAAAAAACTAAAATGAAGCAACATACAACAAAATGTGTACCTAATGCTGCAAGGTCTTACAAAGACCAATCGGTTGCCACATGAAATTAGGTCTAGATATGCGTTTGCGTCATATAAAAATAAATAAATGAACTTTCAAGCGTTATTTTTGCTAAGATATTGGCGATATCGTGTTTCGAYTGGACATTTGAGTTCTAATGCTTTAACGTTACTCTCGGTTCAAGAAATTATTTAAGATCCTATGAAAATTTCTTTGTTTGGAATTCATAGTTTTGGTTAAAACTTCAAGAACGGGATTGATTTGAAACTCCTCAGGTCCACTTCAAAATTTCACCAATAACTCATTACTAATCAAAGAACGATCCATTTCTAATTACATTCTAACGCAGTTCACAAACGAGATCAGATCATACAACAAAGAAAGCCTCCATTCTCCACCTCGAACTCGAACTCTCAAACTTCACGAACGAAAAAGAAAAACCGCAAACAGAAGCCAGCATCTATCGAAAAGTGCATTCCACCGATCCAGAACAACTTCATCGGCCGGCGGCGGCGGGATCAGCAGCATCGGATTCTCTTCCTCCTTCATTGCTAGGATCCTCTCGCCGCGGTTGAGATTGAGTAGCGGCGGCGGCGGAGGAAGAACGATCGGCAGTAGAAGAATCGCGTGAGATTCTGCTTGCACTGGAAAAGAGATCGACAGGATCGGAGTCGGCGATTTTGCCGGATTCGAGCGGCGTGCCGTGCTTGTAAGCAACTCTTAGGGCTTCGTCTTCGGACAATTTGGCTTGAGCAACTCCGTACTTGATATCGTCCTTGCTCTTCGCCATTGCTGTCAAATTCTGTCGATTTTACGGAACGGATTCGGATTTCCATTGGTATATAGCGCGAGATTTGATGTTGATGCGGTGACACGCAGCACAGCGCCCGCTGAGAGATCGACAACTAACGCCTCTTCTTCTGCTGACTCGCTGCCTTCGTGTCTCTCTTAAATCTCTATTCGATTGTTGAGGAGTTCACCCAGTTCAACTAATCCAATGCAATCCAATCCACTTTTATAAATTTATTATTCACTTGTTTATTAATCATAAACCCAAATTTAAATGGTACATATTGGAATTTTTTTTCTTTTTTTGAGAAATGTACATATTGGATTAGTTGTTTAGAATTTTTAGCTATTTTTCTTTTTCAGGATTTAGTAAATATATGTTTGGTAGGGTTGCATTTTAAAACTATTTTTAAATTTTGTGATCTTTAATAAATCAATTAATATTATTTTATACTTAATTGGTAATTACCATGGTTTACAAATATAATACTAAAATACATGCAATTCAATTTTCAAATATGTTACCAAATACATATCTAAAATCAATAAAAACAACTATGTTTTTATTAAATCTCTTATTTTTAGATTTCTGTTTACAGGTTATAAACCAAAAAAGCACTCTTAATTTCTTAAACAACATTAATGGGAGATATATTTGGAAGTTATGAAATTCTACGTGATGAGTTTTGGTTGAAATTCAACGAAATTGAACAAGCTCGATTCAACTTTCATGGTTGGGTCCAAAATATGATAGTATTCATCCCAAATCAACATATTGATACTTTCTTTTTCCTCAGTTCAATGATAATATGGATGTAAATTTCAACTTTTGATCATTTTTGTCGATGAGTTGAGTTATGTTCAAATTGGAATGAACATCTCCCACTTAAATTGAACCTCCCACTTAAATTGAGTCCATCTTTGAGTTGCATGCATCCAACATAACCGCATTTCGACCAATCGACTCACTTACCTCTCCCAACGTTGGAGATGATACTCATAATTTGATTTGCTAACTCGGATGTTTGGATCATGCAAAAAAGAGGAGATGAAGAAAAGATCGTTTGGAACCGATCAAAGTGTTCATTCGTTCTACCACTCGAGCTAGTTTGATCAGTTGTTGGATCTAGGTAAGCATCCCTATAATAATGGATTGGTTAATACCAACGTGTTGGAGGTGAATCCTCAGCCTACACGTGGCATGTAGCAGTTGGATCCTCAGCACTACGAGTCACCTCCCTGCTAATGTGTAGTTGCCTCGGTCATGATTCCTCATGCCGAGCCGACTCTCTTGGACGGTCGAGCCGATCAATTACCTTACTTAGATCACTTCGACTCAGCCTATTCTCCAACAGATTCTGCGACATCACGCTGCACTTCACGATAACCTTAAAGAGCCGTTGAGGACTTGTCGGGGACTTCGCATATAAATAGGACCATATCGCTTCGTTTCAAGGCACGCGATCAACCCAATTTTCTCTCTCGAGTTGATTTGGACGCTTACTGATTTTAGCATCAGAATTTCTACTCTGTTTTATAGGTCTTCTACACGACATCTGGAGCTCTCTGTCTAGCTCATCCTAACTGATCCGAAGTTTGGAGACTTGGTCACTTTTTGATCAAACATAACCAATAAAGATTCGTAGGTGGTTCGACTAGAATGAATGCGCTAGACAAAAGAAGAAGGAATGAGGAAGCGCGTGTTCCTCAGGACAAGAAAGGGCGCGTGGGGTTGGGAGATACTGAATTCATGGGTCGGATAACGAGGTGTGGAGGGGACTGGTGTAGAGAGGAGCCAACTCAGGCGCCTCCACTTTATTAAACAAGAAAACCTCCAAAAGGGAAAGGGATTATCCATTACAAAACCCACCCTAAAATGGTGGGAACAAAAACTACCTCCTCAAGATTCACCATGCCTTCTGGCTCTGGCAGCGAAGAGAAGCAATCGGCTCTGTGATTCCATTCCAGTGTATGTTCATGATTCCTCCTACCAATTTTCATCTTCTTCAAACAAAATCCAAGAGAATGCACTGAGTTTCATACCCCAATCTCTGCTTATCAATCGATCCAATAACTCCCAAGTTTTAGAATTCTGAGATCGACCCAGAATTTTGATTTTGATTTCGATTCTAGATGCTCAAAAGGAGGCTGATGTTGGGAGCGATTACTGCGAAGATCGCCTTCTAAGCTTCATACAACTTAAGAAGTAGGTTTTTGTATCTTGTTTCCATGGCGACTCTGCTCAATACAGTGTCTCCAATAGCAAACCCGTCACCAGAAACTTCAAGAAGAGGGTGTGGGTTCTTCTCCCACATCCCAAATCTCCACAAACTTTCACTCAACAAGGGATTTTCCAAAGTTTTAGCATCTACCCACATCACCATTTCCCCAAAGGACACCATTTTCACACTGCCAAATTGGAGGACTGGGAAGGTTGATCAGAAGAGCAGAGACCTCAGGCTCAATGATGCATTTCTCCACTTAGAGTTCATGGTGAGGAAGGGCCAAAAGCCAGATGTGTTTCAAGCCACTCAGCTGTTGTATGATCTGTGCAAGGCAAGCAAGATGAGGAAAGCCATTAAGGTGATGGAGATGATGATTGGGTCTGGAATCATTCCTGATGCATCTTCCTATACTTTTTTGGTAAGTTGTTTGTGTAAAAGAGGGAATGTTGGGTATGCAATGCAATTAGTGGACAAAATGGAGGAATATGGTTATCCTACAAACACTGTTACTTATAATTCACTTGTGAGAGGGCTGTGTATGCATGGAAATTTGAGCCAGAGTTTGCAGCTTTTAGACAGGTTAATCCACAAGGGGCTGGTCCCAAATGCTTACACTTACTCTTTTTTGCTTGAAGCAGCTTACAAGGAAAGAGGAGCTGATGAAGCCATTAAGCTTTTGGATGAGATAATTGCCAAGGGTGGGAAGCCTAATTTGGTTAGCTACAATGTTTTGTTAACTGGGTTGTGTAAAGAAGGCAGGACAGAAGATGCCATTCAGTTGTTTAGAGAATTGCCTTCAAAGGGATTTAGTCCAAATGTTGTTAGTTGCAATATTTTGCTGAGGAGTCTGTGCTATGAAGGAAGGTGGGAGGAGGCAAATGAGCTTTTAGCTGAAATGGACGGTGACGATCGCGCCCCTTCGATCGTCACATACAATATATTGATTGGTTCGCTTACACTCCATGGCAGAACAGAACATGCGCTTGAGGTTTTGGAAGAGATGATTAGAGCGCGGTTCAAGCCCACGGCTTCTAGTTACAACCCGATAATTGCTCGCCTTTGCAAAGATCGAAAGGTAGATCTTGTTGTGAAGTGTTTGGACCAAATGATGTATCGACATTGCAATCCGAATGAAGGAACTTACAATGCCATTGCTACGCTTTGTGAAGAGGGAATGGTTCAAGAGGCATTCTCCATCATACAAAGTTTGGGCAATAGACAACAATCCTCTACTCAAGAATTTTATAAAATGGTTGTTACCAGCTTGTGTCGAAAAGGGAACACATATCCAGCATTCCAGCTTCTCTATGAAATGACGAAGTACGGGTTTACTCCCGACTCTTTTACGTATTCATCTTTGATCCGGGGATTATGCATGGAGGGAATGCTGGATGAGGCAATTGAAATATTCAGTGTAATGGAAGAGAATTGCTACAAGCCTGATACTGAAAATTACAATGCGCTTATTCTTGGTTGTTGTAAATCTCAAAGAACCGATTTGGCATTGGAGGTTTTTGAAGTAATGGTCGATAAAGGATATCTGCCTAACGAAACAACGTACACCATTCTCGTGGAAGGGATCATCCACGAGAAGGAGATAGATCTAGCTGCCAAAGTACTGAAGGAGTTGCAACTCAGAGATGTTATAAGCCAAAGCACAGTGGATAGACTTGTTATGCAGTATGACCTAAATGATTTACCATTGTGATAGTTTCAATCAGATGACTTGCTACGGCAACAGCAAACTCACATCAAGAAGACAGCATTTTCTGTTATGATTACAAAAGAAAAAAATTCCACACTCATATTTCACATTTGAGCTTTATTATTTTGTCTTCGAACTGGAAGCCTGTGAATCTGTACAAGATTGACACATTTTCTTGAGTTTTGCATAATCTACATCACATGTTTGGTTCACAAGGCTTCTTACATGTACATAAAAAAGAACTCAAGATCATTCCTTTGGTTTATATTCGGTTTGTTAATTTTTTTTTTCACGGATCAATTTGTTCTCACAAAAATTATGGCAGTTGAAATAAAATATTTGCATCTGTTTCCTGCTTTGCTTTTTTATGTGATGTTTTAAATCTTAGGATGAAAGTGAGGGAATGGAAGAATCTAAGCTTGTTGCTGCTGTTTTAGACATCATAATTTGTCATGTTTCTGTTGATATATGAAACATGACCAAAACAAAATTGAAAATTTTAAAACAAGTTTATTCAAAAGGCAAAGTCTCCCTATTTACGACCATTCGGTTATTATGTCCAAACCATGCAATCTGTTATTATGTCTAATCATTTTGGATACAATGGTAGAAGCTCAAGACCAAGTTAAGATTATTTCTTTTTCTGTCTTTGTGTTTACTAATTTTTTTAAAAATTACCATTGAAGGTCCTGTGAATTGGAAAAACTGAAGATAGAACTGGTCAATTGGATTTGATCCGTATTTTTTTTTCTTTTCTTTTTTGTGATCTAAAACTAAATTATCTTAATCAGTTTGGTCAATTATTTTCCTATTATTCCATTCTGAGTGCATACACAAAAACAGTGAACACAATTTTACTTCTTAAATCAAGACAGTCCAGTTCTTTTAAAAAAATCTTTATCAGATATTGTTGGGGGCACAGACCTGATCATTAAAAAAAAAGCATCTTTTCCGGTTCTCTCTTCTCTTCAAGCCATCCCCAATGTGAGCATGATACGCTCATTCTATCAAGCTAAGCTAGTTTAATCTTTCTAACCCGAGCTGACCCAAGTCAGAATCCATGGAGTGGACACCTGCCTCGTCGTGCCTACGCTGCTAGTATTTATAACTTTCTTAACCTGGTGTGCTCATCCTTCAAAGCTAGAGCTAGCTAGCTGTTCTGTTCTAGTCATTGTGCCCAGAATTCCCATACGTTAGATGAAATTAAGACTCATGTCCAGAGCTGCAGTAAAATATTCAGCAGATTGGCAACAAAAAGTGATGACAAGGACACATGATTTGATAGAGTCTGAATATTAAACTTCTGAAATAAGTTCAAGGAAGCATTAGATGCAAAATATAAGCTATGACACATCTTAATAGAAAAACAAGTCAAAATATTTAAGTTCGTTTATCCAAAGCAATAAAAACCACAGGAAATGATTCAAAACTATCTTCTTAAGAAGACTACAACCTCCACAACTTCAAGCAATTTATGCTTGACGGCAACAGAGATAATAGGTAATCTCAGGAGCAGGCTCAATCATTTTCCAAACATCTGTGCACCTACTTGGATCTCTGTCTCATCTTTCGGCGCTTTCTCTTAAGCCTCCTCATACGCTTCTTCTTCCACTGACATTCAGAACCCCAATAAAAAGGGAAAACATCAGATCCAAAAAAAGTACACCTCAGTTTGCACACCATGGTGAATGATCGAATGTATAATGTGTGTTCCAATACGAACCTTCAATTAAAATCAAATAGAATAACATAAATTGGCCCTTGTTGAGCTTCAAGAACTTCTAAGGTTTCGAAATGTTGATTTTTTTATGGATTTGAACGAACGTATTATATTATTGAAGCACTAAAACGTAAAAACCTTGCAAAAATGTATAAACATGTTGACAACTCTCAATCAGATTAAGCCAAAATAAAAATGAAACATGCATCCACAGACTATTGGAACTCTTCCCTCGCCCGTATTTTGGGGGGCTGAAATGTTACCAGTAATTTATATAATCTGAACCATTTTCAATCTTAGTCCGTAATATAACACCTAGACCGTGTTCCAAGGATAATAAGCCTGATTCTCTGCCGAAAACTAATCCATATTAATAGAACGAGTGGGATTGCGTTCCACCAAACAGAAACGGAAGGAAACCCTAAACCCATTTTCAAAATTATAAGTAGCTTTTGATTCATAGGAAAATACATCACATAGTTAGCCCTAAAAAAGTTAGGGTAAATTCGACTCAGATTAACGCCAAAAATTACATCTCCTGAGAGTATCAGAAACCCCAAAACCTGTTTCGAAAATTCTAAACCCTAAAATTATTATGAAGAAACTTTTGGTTCGTAAGAAGGAAGAATAAACGAACGTGGATAGAAAAATACGTGTTAGGGCACCCGTTCGTCTCCGATCGCGCCAAAAATACATCTCAGTAAGTAAATCTTCAATTCGTACGCAAAACATTGAGAACAATGAAAGACCGGGAAAAAGCTTCGAGAACGAAGCTGCTTAAACATAAGATACTAAACGTAAAATGAAGAAGATGAACCTTAGCTCTCATTGTCGATGGCGAACAAGCTCAACCTCAGGAAAACAATGGCGGATGGCCGATCTCCCAGACTCTCTCGGTTGTCGATGGAGTACTGTCAGAGACGGTGAAATCGTAATCGCTTCCTATTTATAGAGGATATCAGAACCCTAAACCTTACTCTTGAGTGTTGACCAAGTCAGAAGGTTATTTTAGTCTTTTTAATTATATTTCTAATTATCATCCATGTTCTAAATTATTTTTTTTTTTCACAATTTTGTTAGACTAAAACAAATCGCTAACTATCCATTATTATTTTTCATCATGATAAAGTAAGAACTTTTCTATTTTTTAATAAATAAACTAAGATATTCAATGCCGAGCACAACTTTAATTTATACTTCATCCTACGGTCGAACTCAAAATTTTATAAAAGAAAAAGATGAAGTAAGAAATTTAACATTAAAGATTGAGAAAGATAATTTTATTTTGTAGATACAGATACACACAGAGTGAATTACTCAAAATTTTTAGTAATTACTATATTTATATTTTTCAAAATCTATACTTAAAAGGTAATTATATTTCTCTTTGACTATGGCTGTAATCTACTAAATAATATATATATATATATATATATATATTTTAATTCAAATCAAATGTTCAAAAGCTCAAGTTTAATATAAGCTTAGCTCTATGTTAACCCTCCATTGTTTTTACTAAAAGGTTCGTTTTTTTTTATAATCAAAATGGACTAAAACTTGGCGTCAGTTGAAGTGAAATGGACATTTAAATAAATAAATTATTAATAAATACATTTTCAAACATTAAAATAAAAAACAAAAATAAACCCACATATATATGCATATATATTTAGTATCAAATATTCCCTGTATCGGTGAAACTTTGGAACCCATTCAAATGTCTAGCGAAGTGATAGACAAGTTTATCATTTTTTTTTTCTCTCTTTACTCCTATCCAAACTAAGTATTATACAGCGAAAGAAAAATGCAAGAGTTAGGGTTGCACAAAGATAATCTAAAAATCAAGCCAACCACTTACCATATATATATATATATATATATGTGTGTGTATATGTATATGTATTATGTATATGTTTGTTTGTGCCTAAATAAAAATGGAAGAAACTTTAAACGAACGGGATATATATGTGGTGAGTGGTGAGTGGTGACTGTGAAGATCAAGAACAAGAACTTGAAAATAATGAGAAAAGTGATGATGCTGTTGTTGCTAAGAACCAGTAACCATGGGAATTAGGAAAGCTCTCTGATCTCTCTACGCCTCTCTCAACTCTCTCTATGTGGGTCTTGCACCGGATTGGTCGGCACAAACCTCGAAAGAAGGAAAAAAACGAGTCTGTTTTGGCGCCAAACCGACACTAACCGACTGCTGAACACCTCTGGTTGAAGTTACTACAAATTTCTTTCTCATTCCACAAGTAATCACAGTATAATTTTCCATCATTATATAAACAAACTCATTTCTTGTACAATTAAGTTCAAATCCAACATCAGCTCCATTAAAGTGATGGTATGGAAAAAGATTCAGCATCGTTTAGAAACTACACACAATCACTCTCCTCATTTGCTCCAATTCCATAAATTCTAAATTTGGAAAATGAACTTGAAAATTTTCATATCTACACAATTCAAATCCCATCGTTTCCAACTCCAAAATAAAAAAAGTTAATCAACATCTTAGAAACTAGAGTTCAATCTGTACGAAGCACCATATTAGAGAATCAAAACTCTACTCACAAATAGATAAATCATGCAGGTAGTAGACTCAATCGTTGATTCACAGAGAAATAGAGAGAGAGGGTCATTCAATGCCAGTATTTTCAAGCCTAGAAATGAAGGGAGCCAGAAGAAGGATACACACAATCGCTAAAACTTCGTACCTACAAAATGAAGAGAGAAAAGAGAGGGCCGAGTGCATACAACGATCTTCAACCATGCTGAGGCTGCAAGGAACTTTGAGAGGAACAAGTATCTGTAGATAAAAAGTTATAGTTTAGTGACCAACCTGAGTATAACTCAAGGTTAAGAAAGACATATATCTTTGACCAAAAGGTCAGAGATTCACGTCCAAAAAGAAAAAAATAAAATAAAAAAGGTATGATTTAGTGACAGTGAGACGAGGAAATGATAGCAGGGAGATATTCTTATTTACTTTGAGTTATTTTGGTTAAAAAGATGATACGTCGACCAGAAAAAGAAAGTTTTTCAAAAGGAATTCATTCTGAGAATAATTACCGATATCTGCAACCAAATTCTGAAACCAAATACTGAGGCCCTCCGCAAACATAAGAAATAATAAACAAAAAAAAACTCTACAAGAATATATGTGAAATTCCAAAATCCTATCATCGATATCCAAATGCCTAGAACTAAAGGAAATTAAATTAAAAAACTACTTTAACATATGAGATTTATTACAGCATCTCATGGGGGTATATGTCATTAACATCAGAAAAGGCACAAAGAAGAAAGATTTCAAGTTGCCAAGATTGAAACTACTCTGTACAGACGCAAATGAATTGTCCCATGCCTGCATTAAAAAAAGCAAGCTCATACGTTCAGAAAGCAAAAAAAAAAAAAAAAGTCATGATTTATGGTTATAATAAATCATCCCTTGCAAGACTACTATTTGAACACAATAGAACAGATTCATAGCCTTTACCTTCCTAAATTGGATTTTATAAGGCCCAACCATTTCGTTTTTCGCTTCTGTATTTTAAAATTAAGCTTAAAAAGATTACTTTCACCTTTGTGTTCCTTTGTTTTATTATATAGTTTTTATAAACATTTTCAAAATCTATGCCAACTTTTGAAAGAGAAAAAAAATCAAAAACTTGTTTTTGTAATTGAAATTTAGCTAAGAATTCACATATGTTTTCAAGACAATTGAAAAACTTACTAATGACATCGAACAAAAACTAACATAGTTTTTTAACACATAAAACTAAAAACGAAATGGTTATCAAACAGGACCTAAAAACAGAAAACCAAAAAACGAAATTGTTATCAATCAGGGCCTAAAATTTCATCTTTTAATGAATCTGTATTACTTGCTTTAGAAAAGGCCAACAATTGAAATTTAATCATGTGTCCAAATTCATAACATGACAGCTCAAAAATTTGAAAGGGTAGAGATAATCATTACGCACAAAACATCTTCAATTTTCCCTTCCGCAAAATTTAAGTTTTCTTTTTCATTGTTCACTCAGTCCATGTTCATTAGTTTCTTGACCTCTATCATCACTAATGGTCGTGACCTTCAACTAAATTAAAGTCTATTTTATTGATCTCTATTATTTTGTCCCATCATGTCCAAGCACAAGGAGGGAGTTCTGTCCCCTATTTTTTTATAGTTGTTTTTCCAGAAAAGGGACACATAATGGCAGATCGTGTCTAAGCATATGAAGTATTAGGGTGTATAAACATCTAAACATTTTCAAACAGCAAAACATTGGCCTCGTTGTCCCTTAGAGAAATGCCTTAAAAAATGATGACCTCCTAAACCATGAAGCAGGGATATGAATGAAATTCAATGCAGAAGCATGCCTTTTTACAAAATCATAGGAGAGAGATATTAACTATGCACATTCAGCATTCATGTGTATAAAAAGTTTCACATGAAATCTGAATGAGAAACCCTAAGAAGGAACAACTGAGGTGTTGCAATGAATATCTTGATCCATCTCACTATCTGAAGAGTAAAGGATCCCATCTAGTTCATTGATGTAATGAATAGTCACATACAAAATATGAGATTCATGATTATGAGCTTACAGAAAAATCCAAATTAGAGTTAATAACAAAAGAATTTTATAGGAATGCCAGGAAGAACAACAACTCGAGAACTTCATTTTTATGATAAAGAACATGAAATAGAAAACAATTATGATAACACCTTTCTTTCATTAAGATGAAGAATGAGAAACAGATAGTAGTTATCAAATAAACACGTGTTTTTTCAGAAATAAGAACATTGTTGAACAAACCTTAACAACCAATGATACTATCCAATAAGATGCCCTCAATTCACAAGCCATGAAAGAAAATAAAATTGAGGCCCCTAGAGGAAAGAAGTTAATCACCTTGTAGATTGCCCATCGCGATAGCCCGATCTATGTTATCCACTCTTCGTTGTATGGATCTTAAGATGGAATTTAGTGACAAAACTCTCTTTCTTACATTAGAAATCCTTGAGGCATGCTGCATGATGAATGGAAAAGGTGCATCTTCAAGTAATTGATCCAGCTCTGTTAAAGTTAAAACAATAACTTTTCACACTGTTGAAAAAACCATGAGACTCAGAAGCTGCATTTTTTTCATCCAATACAAGAAAAAAGGTAATTATGATAGAATATCATGTATGATGCATAAACTTCCCCTAAACCTAGCAAGTGACAAAATCTTCAAAGCTATATTTGTAAATTTATAACTAGTTGAAGTACAAAATTCTATTTTATATGATAAAGCTAATAAGACAAACCAAGTAAATATAATCCTGCCTGAAGTAAGACGATCGAGGGAAGATGAAAGCTGGCTCTGGCTTTTAAGAGTATCGTCAGCTTTGGAGTCAAAATCCCTTATGATATTGCTAAGCATAGAAGAGAGCCCTTTTGCCACAGTATCAGCGTTTCCCAAATTCATATTCGCAATACCATTTCCTTCCCGGAGAAGACCATTTTGACTAACTGAATGCTCCAATTCAACAGAGACGTTGCTGTCTTGATTGGCAGATTGATTGAGTTCTCCCTCCGGACTGTGCATCTCATCAAATTTCTGAAAGAGATCACCAAGTTTTACTGTATTGCCACCAATAAACTACATTTACAATAAATCTCATAGCCCATGATAGAAAATAAAACAAAACACCAGAAATTTTTTCTTTCCATGAAGTTAAGCTCATAGCTAGCGCAACGTAATGGAAATAAGCATGCAGATTCCATCACCAAACCTTGAAGAACAGAACAGACTGTAGTTAGTGCCCGATAACTCAAAATTACATCTGCTGTAATTGGAGAAAACAAATGATCTCGGAACCAGATAAATGAAATGCCAGGTGCTTACAATAAACTCAAAATAGTGAAATATGCGTGGAAGAATAAAAATCAACATCGAATCCGACGAGAAGATTGGATCAAAAAGCTAAATGCATAGCATACATAAGTAACCAAATGCTCATAATCTGGAATTTGTTAACTAATATCACCTCAGGAAAAAAAAAATCAATTAACCAATTTGGGCTGGAACTCAAAAATTCCTCGAGATTAACCTTCATTAAAACAAAAAATAAGAATGGAGTAATACGAGGACGAAATGAGAATCGAATTCCAGAGAGAAATCACATCGGAAGTAAGAGAGGACAAGCAGCCACCTACTGTAGTTCGCAGTCTCGTCCAGAATTCGTACTACGAATGAAGAACAGTTCCCAAATTGGTTCGCCGTCGCCGGCGTAATTGTCGGAGATGGAGGTCAGAGAGGAGAGTTCCTGGCCCAACCGTAGCCGGAAAGGTTTATTGCTCGAGGTTACTTACGCCGATGAAATTAAATATAAAATATTAAAATAGTAATAATATAATTCCTACGGAATTGAGAACAATAATATTCTATTTTATTTTATTTCTTTTTTTCTCAATATATGCAGAATTTCGAGGTAGCTGGGCCGGACTTTCCGTGCGGACAGTGTCCACGGCCATACACATGGGCCCGGCCTTATTTGGAAGTTGGTCTTTTTCTTTTTTCTTTTTTTCTTTTTTAATAAAAGTTTGAAAGTTAGTCACCTACTATAAAATCAGAAAATCATTTAGTACACATAATTCAAGAAGTTAATTTAAGTAAATAGCCAAATAAATGCAGACTGAAAATTAATATGGCATTTTTTTTGTTTATATTGGGCAAGTTGCGCCAGTAATATGACCGAGCAACTATTTGACTCTACAACATTATATTTCAATATAAATTGTACAATAATATTAAATCATAAGTAGATGACCACCATGATTCAAAGCATTATCTCTAAACCTTTCACTATTTACCTCCGCTCATTTAAATAAAATAATTGTTCATTTAAATATAGTTCCAGACGCTTTTCAACTATATCACTTAAATTATGTTATAAACTTATAACTATAGGTACAAATTGGAAAATGTTAGAAATGGAAAATGTTAGTCATAAAAAATACAATCCATACTACACTTGCATATTTCAAGTCGCTGCTATCTTGTAAAAATCGTTTAAAAGGTGCAAATATTTGTCCCCCCTCGAAAAGGAGAGATCAGGTGAAAACAGAATATGTGTATTATATTTGTATACAAGTG